TTTGAGTTTTCGCTATTAAACGGATTAACTTGCAGGTTTGGAGTTTTTCAGGATTTTGCCTGGGAAATTTTTGAGTCAATTGTGCATTTCAATGATTCGTAACGTCAGTTTTCAATGCGTGAAAAATTGAAGCAAAACGCCGTCTTATCCACACTTTTAGTGTTTGTACACCCGATTTGTGGCTATTAAACGGACTAACTTGTCGATTTGCAGCATTTTTGTTTTTCGTTTGGGGAATTTTTGAAAATCAAGCGTTTATTTGGCTCTGAACGATTCGCACGTTCAGTTAACAACGCGTGAAAAACTATTTCTTCAGCCAATTCATCACTATTGAATGAACTAACTTGCAGGTTTAAAGCTTTTCTTCAATTTCAACAGCCTCAGCTTTGCAGGCATGAAAAATGGGAATTTATTTCGGTTTTAGTGCCATTTTCACAGCTTGGGATCACTTCACATTTTCATACATTTTTTCTGGAACTCATCAAACAACGAGAAGAAAAATACACACGCATTGAGGTGGTTAAGCTGATAGGGTTGCTAAAAACATCCAAACTTAAATAAAATAATGGAAAAGACCCTTCGGCAGCTCTGAAAAGCTCGAAATGTCGGCATTTCTCGGTTAACAAACTCTTGGAGATTTTCAACACTTGCGTCTGAAGAGTCGCCAACCGCTTTGACCCAAGCCGCCCTTCACATAAGAAAAAGGTAACATTTCCACACTTGTAGGGCATTAAGCGAACAGGTAGACAAAAGGCCGCTTTTTGTATCATCAAACCAGCGGTGGGCCACTTTTGGCGCATTCATAAGTACGAGCGCTACCAGAGCCTGAAGAAGTCAATTTTGAGAGGCCCTGTTCGCATGAAGAAGAAGATAGTGAAGATTAGTGGACAGGAACCGCCACTGCTCATGGGAGATTAGCTATGGGCCCTAAAGGGCCTTAACTGGCTGGCTGGTCGGTACTAAACCCTGAAAGACATACCGACGAGATGAATGCGAATAAAGTTCAGTTTTTGCTTGAATCTGAACAGACCATCGATGGCTTTTGGCTACTGAACGGTTCTCAGGCCAGCTGAGAAGGAAGGGATTCTTGCAGAAAATATCGAAAAACTGAAATCGTCTCCGCTTGTCTAAAAACTGATCCCAAACCAAATAACTGTGCTATTGATCCGATTCTTTGGGCAATTATTGACCAAAGTGTGCTCTATGCAGTGGCGTAACAAGCACTTTGCGGGCTAAAATAGTATCTGAGAATTAGGCTATTGAAACTTACATGTCCAACAGTTGTCAGCAAGGGACCCCGGCACCCAGCTGCTTTAAAATTTGTAGAAATTCAGCCAAATGAGCAATCGACTTGAGTTTTACTCACTTTAT